CTTCAATATCGTGCCCGTGTATTTCTTAAGTACCATGTATGACATTTCTCTATCGTACCCTTGTACATTTTAATTACCCGTGTACACCACTTCGTAACCGTACCTTTGTGAGCAGGCAGTGTTGACCATTGGTACGCCCCGGGAGGACTGATCTGGTTGCCAACCTTATTTTACACTATATGGCTGCATATCGATCGACTGTTCATTTTAGCTGGAAAACGAACTAGTACCACCACATTTTAGCATTTTTGTGCCAATGATCATTAATCAGTAACATGGCCCATTTATTTATATTGTTTTAAATTTGTGCCTTTTTAAAATGGCAACATTTTCGTCATCACTTTAATCAAAGCCCAATCAATTATTATGTGACCACAGGCTTTCTAGTCAATTATAAAGTCATTTGAGAATAATGGCAGTAGAAGAATAACTGAAAACTCACAATCAATGATAACAATAAATTGTAAATAATTTCACAGTAAAAAGGCATATCTAATATCTGTGCAGCATCTTTAAAAATCTACTCTCTAAAATCTGTCTTACAGTTGGACAATCACATCCTGCATTGAGAAATCGTCTGATTCATCACCTGAAGTCGGTAAATAGTCCTCTGGGAATCGAGGCAAATCTACATCAAGGTATCCTTCTTGTTTAATCTGACCATCATTTTTAGCATTATGCTGATTTTCCACGCAGTGATTTGACAAGTCCTTATCTTTCACAGCATTGCTGTCGTCATTCTGCAAATTTAACAAAGTTTTGTTCTCAACAGGATTTTCAACACTTGCTAAAGAAGATTTCCTCGAGAGGTCACTGTCCATTATTTTTTGAGCCATTTTATCATTAGATGATTCATCACTGGAGCTACTTGAACTACTGCTTTCTGAATTTTGTTCAAATGAGGGCGATAACTTCATTTCCGAATCGTAACCGTTTCCTTTGATATCGCTCATACTTTGATTTGAAGTGTACAAAACTACATCAAGGTCAACAAACAATTCATGGCCTGATTTTGATTTTATTTCAACTCGAATCACGAAGTAACAGTCGACGAACTGGCTGCTGGAAACTGATTGGGTGGCCACTTCTTTTATCTCAAATGGTAGTACAGTTCCGTGAGATTTACCAGACCATTTTTCGTCAATTTCCAGAAATTTTTGGCGATTAAGAATGTGTCTTACATTAAACTGATTAAACTTTGTGTCTTTAAAATGAAGATAACGGCAGAGATACACTCCTATTTCTGATATTTTTTCTGATGCATCGTTTTCTAAACAGCATCTTATCTGAGCTGTGTCTCCTAAAAAGTAGCAGCCTTTATCCAATTCAGCTTTCAGTGTTAGTGTACCTCTGTTTATGCAGGGATAGATAAAATATTTTTATAGAATCTTTCTTTGACTTGGTGAGGTAATGATAAGGTGGGGCCTCATACATATTTATGGTCTTTTTTGCTATTATTTGGTTTTCTTTTATGTCAAGCAAAATGAAAGAGTATTCGATCACTGCACAAAGATCAGTTTCATCGTTCTGAAAATAACTGAAAGACGAGGGAAGATTAGGTGGGAATTGGTAGCTGAAAGCAAATTTCAGATTATCGTGATCGCTGCATTCTTCATGAATCAGATCGACGTAATCAGTGAAGAACGACTGGGTTTCAACTATTTTCTCTGAAGATTCGTTGATCTCATCCTCTGAGTTCTTTGCTGATGCATTGTTTACCCATGTTATGCTCTGGTTTCCTTCACAGATGAGGGACAAGGTAAGACTTGGAATATCGTAGTCTCTGGAAATTGACACATAACCATTTACTAGTTTTGTTGGGAAATACAGCGCATTCAAAATGTTGATATCTACTTTTGTAGGCAGCTCAGTGTCTTGGATCGCTTCATATTCCCCCTCTTTACCATTCTCTGGTAGCTCCTCTTTAGCAGTGTTTTCAACAAGGTCCACAGATGGTAAATCTTCCGCATCATCTGTCTGATCATGAGATTTATCAACTGAAAATGTATCATCCTGTTTACTCACATTACCACTCAGTAATGAACCCTCGGAGTTTACTCCTTCGACTTTCGTTTCAGCTGCACTTGAGATATCACCTTCATGTGAGGTGTCACCTTCATCCGATCCATGCTTTGAATTTTCGTCTTCATTCACTGTATCCTGATCTATAACAGTATCTTTATCTTTTACAATATCCTGCTTTACTACAGTATCTTGCTCTGCTCCCATATTGTTCACAATTTCACCTGACAGATTATCGTCTTTTCTTTCAATAATATCGTCTAAAGCAGATGAAGAAGATAACTCTTCTCCCTTCTCATTGGTTGGGTCGTTTGAAACTACGTAAACAGCCTGATCTGTCACCGTATCTGTCACAGATTCAGCTTCCTGTTCTGCTTCCGGGAAACCATTACATGGTTTCACCTCCTGGCATACAGTATTTGATACCTCAGACTCCGTTGATGCATGAACAGAAAAACTACTATCAAATTTCAAAGCCGCATCTTGATCCTCGTTATGTTTTGCAACAAAGTCACGATGCTTCTGTGCTTGGTTAGCTTCTGATGTTTTATCCCCGCCATGATCAGATTTATCATCCTCGGTAATTATCTCCGGTGGTAAAGGGTCCGGCACTGGTAAGATAACATCGTCCTCTTCAGTCATCGTAACATGCCTGTACCATCTTCAAACACATTTGTTACACCATGTTCCTGTTGTAATTTGTCAAAGTTTATATCGTGACATGCTCTTACATGACTCATTTAGATCGTGACATGATTTGACTAAATAATAGTATAGACATGGAAATTGCACTAAGCACAAAGCATACTATTGCTGCCCTTGTCGGTTTGATGACGCCTACACATCCTCCCTTGTTGTACACTCGATCTTAAATATAAAAGGTGTATGGAGGTATGGGTAGTGGATACAGCTTGGCACATATGCAGTATACATTCAAAGGTAGTGTGGGAAAATTCTTTTATGTGCTCTAAATAGTGCGGGACAATTCTTTACTGTGCTCTAAGTAGTGCGGGACAATTCTTTACTGTGCTCTAAGTAGTGCGGGACAATTCTTTACTGTGCTCTAAGTAGTGTGGGACAATTCAGGACTGTGCTCTAAGTAGTGTGGAACTTCGTACACTGACACTACTGAATACTGAACAGTGCTGCATGGATGCACTCAAGGTGTGTGGTGTGAAATGTGCTACAAATTGCTCAGCCATCTCAAGCTTTTCGAAATATTCAGAAATAGAATATGCATATATCCAAAGTAATTACATGATATGCTGCCGCTGTCGTCAAAATTAAAAAACAAGCATACAAACTTAACCCATACCAAGCTACAAGTCAAAAACAATGCACAAAAACCCCCTGAAAGCAAGGGCGTGTCACTGTCACAATAACAGCACCAGCTACACATACGATACGTCTAGCCCGATAAAAACAAGCTCTCTCTCTCCCCTCTCTCCCCCCGATCTGTGAGAGATAAACACAGTACAGAGACACACACACACCCAGTGCAGCAGCAGGGCCCTTATTAGAACCAGCATAAGGAGCCTGCTTTACACTCTCTCACCACATGCTAATGCCTTAATGGGTCATTAGCAGCCGTCCTCTCTAGAACAAAGCTTCCTAGTACTCTCCTAGTGGTCAGCGTATCATGTGTGAGATGTGTTGTTGCAGTGCTGTGGTGTTACAAAGTACAAGTTACCGAGTAGTATAGTATAGTGTGGTATAGACGATGTGTGTGCTCTCTTTTATGATAATCTGCATTCCATATGGATGATGAGACTTCAGGTGATTAGCATTTATAAAATTATTGTCCAAGGATACCCATTTCTTAATGTTTTAACTTGACTGTTAAACATTATACCATCATTGAATTGTGAGAGTTAAGGGCATTAACCACGTTAACACACTCTAGCCGTGCTTCATTTGAAACTTAGCTCACAAACGACCCCAAAAGCACAAAAGTTCTGAAGACAAGAACACAAAACACCACAACAAGAGTCAATGTAACGTGAGTCAATGCGGACAACAATGCTGTAGTAGTAGCAGCAGGAGGAGCGCACTAGACGACAGTGAGTAAACTACATATTAAATTCTTCCTACAATTGTCCTACATGAACATCCGCAGACTAGCAGCAATGCTGTACAGTTGAAAAGGAATATGTATTATTAATGAAGTTACTCAGATAATTTCGGACACCCTTAGTCAGGCTGGAGCCTTGTTAAGTCCAGCCTTGTTAGAGATCATTAAAATGTGTTCTGGTTCATTTGTTATGCAAGAATGTAGGTGACTTGATTCTGCCAACAATTACATTAATATGAATGGTAAATTAAGTTAGAGGCTTTTAATTGTGTTTTGTTAACGGACTTAATATTAAATTGATCCAATTATTCCTTCAAAAACAACTTTTCTTTTGTGAGGGTTGTTGTTATGATGCTGCTGTTTGGGAGGTCTATTGTATTATGTGTATGAAATATATGAGGTTATGAAGCTTCATCACAAAGAGACGGCTCGGTCAATAATATGTAAATAATTTAATAATTTTGAAAGATATTCATATAAATTTCTAAATAAGGATATATGGACTCTAAATTTATTTTCATTGTTCAAAAGTTTCAGCAATTGCGAAATGAAATTTCAGATAGTACGATTACAACTGCGAACAAAAATCTACACTTGAACTGTTTCAACTTGAAAACATTTTTATTGACAACTACAATCGTCATAAAATGATGTAACATCTATCGAAACTTAGTCAAAAAGTTAAAACTTCCTTATCAATAAATCTATTGCAAAGAAAGTTTTAGATTTTAATACTGGTTTAGTTTTAACTATACAAATTATAATGCTTCCAAGACCAAAGCTTATTAAACACATTTGAGCTATCGATGAAGACTTTCCTTTTCTTCCATTAACTTAAATATTGATTTATTGACAAGCCAGATGATGTTGTAAGTTAATCCTTTATATTAACCTTGATTTCCTCAAAAGTTAGAATGATGTTGTAAAATGGTAACGTAGATCTCTCCGCTGGAGACACCAACAATCATGTACAAATCAAGAAAGAAAGTAGTTCGGGCTGTGCTCAAACGACGACGGTCCAGTTCGGCGTCCAGCAGCAACCAATACGCTAATATGGTGAGTAATGGGGGGTTTCACTGGGGTACGCGGGTACGTGAGTCCACTAGGATACGTGGGTATTGGGTGAAGTAAAAATTGTTTGGAATGATTCCAAATGCATCGCTATTGGACCAGACGGTGTCGTTGGTTCTTTAGAATAAATATAAAATGTTTTTTAAAGAGTTTACTCCGGTATGATTTTAAACTCTTTAAATTTAAACTGTGTAGTATTCAGTTTTTAAATGGATGGTTCAACCTTCATTTAACTAAAAATATGGGTTCACTTTATCGGCTATAATAGTTGCAGGGCTAAGAAAGGACGAATCGCATTTCATATTTTCAGGCTGAATTTGAACACAATAAATTGCAGGGATGGGGTAGGCCGAGCGTTTTGCACGCAGTAGTTGTGATCTTCCTGGAGTTCTTTGCGTGGGGTCTTCTAACTGTACCCGTGGTCAACGTCATGGCTCGAGCTTTTCCTTCGTACACCTTCCTTATGAACGGCATGATCCAAGGAGTCAAGGTAAGATATTGTTATTTGTCCGATAGACGGATATACTATGTTACATTATTTTATCACTAATCTTGTAAAATACCATTTAATCTATCTGGCACTCCTGAAGTTATTGTCAGATCCACCTGCAATACACCCGGACTTACTGAAAGAGTTATCGCCTAGTGCCAATATAATAGCTTTACGGTAATCAAATACTTACTCATTCTGGCTAATAATAGTTGAGAAGCGGACATTGGCTAGGCTGTGGTTGTCATTTTCGTTCAGCTGTAATCGAAGTTGGCTCAGTACTACCGCCTGGTTTGTACATTGTCATGATCTACATTTACAGTGAATGGTGCTCCTTACAATGAATGGTGCTCCTTTAAAAAACGAAAAAAACACATACTGAAATGGATTATCCCGAGTAGTCATACACACGATTAATTATAAAGAATTCAGCAACTTTTCTTAAAGAATACACACTATGATCATAATTTGGCAGATGTACGTGACCTACTTGCCGCAATATTATCTTGCCTAATAATTCGCTGCATTGTACCTCAATACAATAGCTGAACATCTCACAGTACAAGAGTGTACAGTACAACGTGTGTGGCATGTTATACAACGTGCAGTGCACATGGTTTCATGCTATAGTCGGTGTTGTTGTGGTAGTTGTGTTAGACCCACATTGTGTTACGAGGAATTATCTGGAGTATGTGGAAATGGGGAACTTTATGCAAGACGTGTAGTAAAACGTGATATGTATCTTGTTGGAGGTAAACAGTCAGGTTGCTACTCTTTACCAGTCAGGTACTTCATCAAGTTAGTGGAGCTTCAGGGCCGAAGTTCTATTCTGAACATGACACTGGGGAGGAGGGAGGGTATTTAGGTGCCGAGGAGGGTTCGCTGAGGAGGGTTTGCTGAGGAGGGTTCGCGGGACTGTTCTGTGCTCCCCTCTTTAAAACAGTGGAGGAAGTGTTTCCTTCGGGTGCGTCAAAGTTGTTTCTTGGTAACAATTATGTATGACATTTAATTTTGACGGTTTCTATAACATGTGGTCTTAATATCGTGTGCGGACTTATCTTCACCAAACTGATTATGATACATGATAATGAAATGATATGTTCGAAACATAAATTTGTAAACTGCTGTACATTGCATTGTATAACCTTTATTACCTGCTTCAACTCTCAATTTATTCCTCTCCAAAAGGAACAATTAAAGTTTCACAAATCACACCGGCTAATTCGTCTCTGATTGCCCGGCCACCTGATGTCACATTGTCACACAGTTACAATATTACTGTGCTTTAATAGCTAACAGCAATAATTCTGTCAAATTTGTGTCCAGTATGAAAAGACCCGTGACCGTACCGAGGACTCTGTAAAAGTTAAAACGACTAGCAGCCCCACCAAGTAAAGTGTAGTTATTATAATATTACCACTAATTCCAGTTCCTCGGTGCACCAGATGTTGTTCAAGAAAGCTAACACGAGTACTACACAAAGTGCGTGTAGTTTAGCGAGTAGGTACGGTGTAGCTGTAGACTGAGTGTAGTTGTAGAGTGTGATCCTTGTAGAGAGTGAGGAGGGTTGATCTCCTATATTAGGTTACAATATATGTAATGTTACCAGGAGTCTGCCGTGTGGGTAGACTGTCTTTATGATTGCAACATTTTGTATTTAGCATTGTTATAATATATGTTTAAAACGCCCAAATGATAATAACATAATACTGTCCAGCATACCCAGGTATCGTATTATTTAACAATCATCCAATCATTACTTATTGTTAACCGTATATAATATGTATCGCTGTATCAATTAGAGATGTAGAGTGTAACGTGGTGTATGATGAGTTGACTCTTTTCTCTCTTAGCAAGCCAAGTATTTTAACAGGAATTATCCCATGTTATCGAGCATGTATTTTTATATCTAGTCGTGGTTTAAATACTAATAATACATGAATTCAGACAAAAGCTTTCCACGGAGATGCCGAATGTGCAAATCGTATGATCTGTGAATCATAATAATATTATTACAATGATAAATTTAATCAGGACTTTCCGTTCGAGAAAAATCAAAGTTTTGAAATGACCTCATCTACTCTCCGGCGATCTCAATTTTCATAAGTAAAATGGTATCATATTTCTAGTCTTGTAAATGTGTGTGTTAAGTGCTAAGGATCACGATTGAAACATTGGGGAAACAAATACACACACACATATCATTAGTATTATACGAAAACATCTAACTTTAACTTCCTTCAATTCTCAACCTGCGCATAACTTTCTGGAACGTTCCCTCAAATTCGTACCATGACAAATGAACATTCCTGAAATCTTATGGAAATTCAGCTGAAATATTTATAAATAATAAATAAATTCTAACATTTATTGCACGCTTCGACATTAAAATATACCCAACAAAGATGTACATTTAAGTCATTCAAGCGAGACTTAGTGTTGAAATATAAAGATTATGCACTTCTTTATCAGTTCAGAATTTATGGACAAATATTAGTATGAAATTACCAAAATTATGCATTTTCATATAATCAGCTCAGACATTATGTACAAATATCAGGAATATCATCAAAAGCTAGGTGGAAATAAAACGTCTTTAGGGCATTTAAAAACATTCTACAGATGATAATGACCTCACTGATTAGGGCAGTTCATTCCAAATTTGTAAGTACATATAACGGGGGGGGGGGGGGGGGAGAGAGACACTTGAATACCATAAGTGATATTTTGAACTTAATACTGAACCGAACAGATAGAAAGTGGAGCTTTTTGAGGTAAGTCATGATAGGTTCACGTATCTTTTTTCCGTATTTAATAAAGTAATATACGTCCCTATCCAACATTCGGAGTATTTTATTATATTATATATAGTTACGGGCGAATTCGCGTAGAGTGTAAGAAGGAAAGTGTACTATAAATCATGTAAATGAGCACCTTCCTTCCCCTCCAGAGGAGACCCGAGGGTGGTAAACTCCACGGAGGCAGATATACGGAATTTACCACAGCTTTGTAAGATAGACAAATCACGGTTCATCAAACGACCACAAATCAATCAGATAATTAGATTTCTCTTCACGATAGTGTTCCTTGCAAGTGTACCCACTTGAAAATATATCGGGCAGAAATATTAATAATAATTATATTATATAATATATCTGATCAACAGAATGGTGTACAGAATTGATTGGAAATATGACGCTTATTCACATAATAATTCCGGCAGCACGGTCCTCATGTTTAGGTGAATGACCTGACCATACATATTATTATATTACAATAATTATAATATAATGTTTCATGACATCTTTATTTATGTAAATTGTTAGCTTTTTACAGCTGTTCGACGTAACCCGTCGTTTCATTTTGTTAAACTTATAATATTATTTTCTCAAAAATAATGATACCTAATCTACATTCCTCAACAAATTACGTGATCTGATTAATGATTATAGCGGGTATTAGAGGAGACATCATTTTATTAGCTAAACATAATATTTGCATTTTATGTTCATTTTATCCTTTAATCCTTTAAAGTATTCGCCCCCTATAGACAAGAATGCTACAGGGTGATAGGGACAAATTTTGCTTTCGCACACAATAAAAAATTATGCAAAGTAAATGATTTAATCATTCGTATAACCTCTAACAGGTTATTCTCTAACAGGTTATATCGTGGGGTGTTTAACTTGCGTTGGGCTTTGTTTTGCGTTGGGCTTTGTTTTGCGATGCTTTTAAAGTTATGAACTTGAAGTGAATAATCTTTATATTCACTAGCAGGAACCCGTCTAACCCTAAAGTGTCAAGAGGCTAAAATAATTATTACCTATTTAATTCGCGTTTTTGACACCACTTGGGGGTCCACATTTTGGGCACTAAAATTCTTATTTTTTATTTGTTCATGCTCATTTGAAGGCCATTAAAGCATTTGAATCTGTTAAAAAAGTTTAAAGTTGATGCCGTGGTGTCTGTAAAATGGCACGGATATATAAACAGATATATATCGTCTCGCTTTATATAATATATTATAATAGTAAGATTCGACTCTCTGGATCTTATTTAAGTTGAGCCTTAGGTCGTCACCAAGAAATTCTGAAACTTTTGTCAGGATTTGTTTTGGCTTAGCTCAACTTTTGTTCTTAAGTATACAAGTTAAAGTCCCATTTGTAGAAAAAACGAAGCAAATGAGTAGACCAGCGGCTGAAAGTGATGAAAGCATCAAAGTGGAAGCGTCCAAGATGAGAAGTCACGTGACAACAGTAAAAAAGAAAGACTATCAATTAAGTCAGAAGCGGTGAAAACAGAAATCAAATTATATGAAGATGGGCAACATTTTGCACCAAAAACGTCGGAAACAGAAATCAAAAAGGATGGCGACAAATCGTTTACTAGATTGGGAGTTTTTGTTTGCCCAAATTGTGAAATGCATTTTGCTTCAGTAGAACCTTTCATCGACCATGTCCAGGGACATCATTCTAACCTTGTTTGTTTTAAAGACCCGAGGGCCACCCTTAAGGGCTTTGAAACCGGTTTATTGACAATATAATATATAATAAATAAACTGAAATCGTAACATTCATGTCAATACTAACTGAAATAATATAAGCTGTAGTTAAAATAATAATACTTACTGTCACTTAATTAAGATATATGATGTAATAAAATGAATCTCTTTATTTCCACACTAATTCTCACACCAAGCTTTAATTCACACACCAAAACTTGATGCACAAGAAAATCTCCAAATTCTACAAAGAGACAACAGCATTGTTCCTGAACTATGCCATAGTCCTGTTCCTGAAAGTGAATGTGAGACGACACCAACAATGGTGCAAGAAAGTAACGAAAAGCCGTTCAAATGCTATAAATGTGTCTACTCCACGGACAGAAAAGAAACTTTATATATTCATCAAAAAATTCATTCCCGTGCAAGAATATATAAATGCGCAGAGTGCCGACTGCCGCTACAGTGCAAATCATAAATCACATTTAATTTCTCATCT